ACAGTCCAGTGGAGCCTGAGCGGTGGGTGTTGCCTTCTGACACACTTCCAGTGATGTCAGGGGGGTGGCATATGCAAATAAGTTATGCTAACGAGTTATGCTAATGAGCTCCTGCACCGCTTTTTCTACGAAATGACCCCTGTTTACGAGACTTTCATTGGGCCCTTATGTATGTTTTTAACTGTCTTTCTAATAAATACTTGTATTTTTTGTATATTATAAATTTTAACTAGGTTTTTAATATTGGCCCTTCATTAGACTTTCTTCTCACCCTTTCTGAATTGGTCCCACCTTTCACCCACTGAGAGCAAAGTGAATTGATGTAATCAGAGCTCTTTATATAGCAGGAACTCCTTTGCATATTAGGCGACACACCCCTAACGTAGCCAATCCTCCAAGAGCTTACAGTAGCCCCTGTAAGAAGAGCTCTGTAAGCTCTTGGAGGATTGACTACATTAGGGGTGTGTTGCCTAATATGCAAAGGAGTTCCTGCTATAAAAAGAGCCCTGGATGTAATCCAAGCCAGGATGCTGGCGTGAGAACCCAAAAGAGTTGTTTCATTGACCGTGTTACTGACCTGTTCTCCTGGTTCTGACAGGATTTTTCTTTCTTCTTTGATGCAGTTGTATATACTTTTCCCGAGGCTCATGGAAAGTCTCCCAGGTCCCCACAAGAAGGTGCTTGCATATACAGAGACTGTGCGATCATTTGTAAAGGAGGAGATACAACAGCACAAGGAGAAACATGCTGTACATGATCCACAGGATTTCATTGACTTCTATTTATTCCACATGGAGAAAGTAAGTTTCCATCTTGTATGGGAAATCAGATACACTCAATGAAAAGAAGGTAAAGGCAAACTGCAATCTTTTAACTTTTATTTATCTATTTCCTGTACAAAAGGATTGAAATGGTTGGTTCTAATAAAAGGCATGGCACAGATTTCGTTCTTGGTTTTAAATTTCGTGTGGACCAATACGGATTTTTGTTCCAACCTCTTCCCACTTTCTGACTCAGTTTTGAGTTGTTATGTAATACTTAGAAACATTTCAACCGGTCAGAAATTTTAAATTGCTTTACAGCTTTACAGTGGCTTGTCTCCTTTCTCCAGGGTCGGGGACAAAGGGTGGCTCTCGGGGAGAAACTGTCCCGAAGGCACCCACTAGTTTGTGGGGTGCCACAAGGGGCGGTACTCTCCCCGATGTTATTTAACATCTACATGCGCCCCCTTGCCCAGATTGCCCGGAGGCATGGGCTGGGTTGTCACCAATATGCGGATGACACCCAGCTCTATCTGCTGTTGGGCGGCCAATTGGGCTCTACCCCGGAAGACCTGGGCCGGGCGCTTCAGGATTTGGCGGGATGGCTGAGGCTGAGCTGATAGAAATTGAATCCGACGAAGACGGAGGTCCTGTGCTTGAATCAGAGTGGTTCCGGGGTGGGAATCCCATTGCCGGCCTTCGATGGGGTGCTGTTGGTGCCAGCGTTGCGGGTCCGGAGTTTGGGAGTGCTCCTGAATGCCTCCTTAACAATGGAGGCCCAGGTAGTAGCCACTGCCAAGGCAGCCTTCTACCATCTTTGGCTGATTAGGCAGTTGGTTCCCTTCCTCGAGCGCAAAGATCTGGCGTCAGTGATGCATGCTATGGTCACCTCAAGGCTGGATTACTGCAATGCTCTCTACATGGGCTGCCCTTGGGGCAACTTCGGAAGCTGCAGCTGGTGCAAAACGCGGTGGCCAGGCTGTTGATGGGCCTCCCAATGCGGGAGCACATCCAGCCTGTGCTAAAGGCGTTGCACTGGCTGCCAATAGCTTTCCGAATCCGCTTCAAGGTGCTGGTTTTGACCTTTAAAGCCCTATATGGTCAGGGACTTGTCTACCTGAGGGACCACCTTTCCCGTATGTTCCCCAGAGAGCACTGAGATCTGGGGTGCAACATCACCTGACTTTTCCTGGCCCTAAAGAGGCCAGGTTGACAACAACTAGGTCTAGAGCATTTTCGCTAGCTGCACCAGCATATTGGAACAAGCTCCCCAGTGAGATCCAGGCCCTGCGAGATCTCCAGCAATTTCGCAGGGCCGTGAAGATGGAGCTTTTCCGCCGGGCATACCAGTGAGAGCGATGGTATGCCAGCCAAGCCTGCCGACTTTCTAAGACATGTATTTTGTATAAGTAGTTAGCAATGTGGTCGAGGTCCAGTCGTAATGATTTACCGAACCGCTTTTACTTATATTTATTGTACTTATGTAAGTTGTTTTATGGATTAATGATTTATCTATGTTGGTTTTATTAATGTTGTGAGCCGCCCTGAGCCACTTCGGTGGAAGGGTGGGATAAAAGTTGAATGAATGAATGAATGAATGAATAAAGCATTTGTAACACACAGGAATTGGTGGAGCAGTGTAGTTTAGGGATGGGCATGAAGCACATTTTTGCATTTTGGTTTGGTTCAGGGGTCATTTCGTAGAAAAAGAGGTGCAGGAGCGCATTAGCATAACTCATTTGCATATGCCACACCCCCTGACATCACCAGAAGTGTGTCAGAAGGCAACAAACACAGTTTAGGCTCCACCCCAAAAATGTCCAGATATTTCCCAACTCAGAGCTGGCAAGCCAGCTTTACCCTTTGAGTAAAGACACTTTAGGTTGCTTTTGCAGGGAAGCTACCCTACAACAAGCATGAAAATACAGATCAAGTTAGTATGCTTTTGCTTTTTCTGCAATAAATCAGGAAAACAATCAAAAGATTATTTTGGCAACCACATGCCTGGGAGAGATATTAATTAAAAGGGTAACGTTTATAGCAATCTTGAGGAGCATGCGTTCTATTGCATCTTCACACACATTAAGGCCAGACAAGGTATAATCCCAAACAGACATCACACCAGCAGCCATGTACACAATGCTGCCCATGTTTGCCATCTACCATAAAAACATCAAGGCAGGCTTAGCAAGGATAGCCCTACAGTAAGATCAGGTGAGACATGATCTGCCTTAGTTGGGTGTTATTAAAAATGGGGGAGGGAAACCAACAGATTTGTTCCAGGGGGCCCAACACACTGGGAAATTCTCTTACTCAAAACCCAAACCGAGCAAGTGGGAGACTAGGGTTGCCAAATCTCTTTTGGCCGGGAGCAGGGGGCTCCTGGCCGGAATCTGGGTGTGCGCATGCACAAAGAGTTTTCCCCTCAAATGGCCGTGGCCCTGCCCCCAGCGTGCGACATCACTTCCGGGTGACACGCACGTGGGGGTGGGGTTTCCCTGGGCCCGATTTTCATCGCGTCGAAAATTGGCATTCCTGGCTCCCATGATTTCCAATGGGCCTTCAAGTCTCTCCCATTGTTTCCAGTGGGCAATCCTGTCCTTCCTTTTAGTACACTCCTTGCCTTGATCTCTGTCTCACTGGAGCTGTGCAAGAGGGGAGCGCCCAGCCTCCTGGCATGACCATTCAGAAAGCAAAAAGCAAAAGCAAAAAAAATATGTTTCCTTTCTTTTCTTTTTTAAAAATAAAGGCTTTGAAGAAACTAAGGCTGAGTTCAGACTGACAGTTTGAAGTGGGAGGGAGTTGTGGAAAAAAAACCCAGAACAAACTGTTCCGGGTTTTACCGTCTACACTGCAGCGACTGATGCGAGAGCATACCAGGAGGAGGCGCAAGGGACCCTACCAGATTGCGGCTTTTCACATTCACACTTCTGCGAAGCGGGATGGACATGGGGAAATTGTGCTTTCCAGAGTTTGCTACCACTTTCACCTAGTATCTTTTAAACTCGGGAGGGAAGCGTTACAAGACGGGTTGTGTATGGCTGGGGAGCGCCCGACAGATGTTCCTGTGTGAACGTCCCCTTTAATCCATTTGTGAAATGTTTCTGGCTCGTGCCTATACCGGGGCAAACTGCCAGTCTGAACTCGGCCTAAGAGTGGGAAAGCAGGAGAAATCCAAAGAGGACGCCAGAGAGAAGGGGCGGGGAGAGGCTGGTTGAAAACAAACTTTGGCAAAGGTGTGTTGCTGGGGTGTGGGGTGTGGGGAACGGAAGCCACATTTTCACCCCAACCTTTTGAGCACTGTGAATAGTAAGAAGCCTAATTAGAAAAAGGTATGTTATTTTTAATTCATAGTTTTATTCCACTCTCTCTCTCTGTGTCCATACACACACACACACTCCACCTTTCTTTCTGCTTTAGAGTTCAAAGAAAAAGAAAAAAGGGGCGGCCACAGGATGGGGGGGAATTCACTCTGTTCCCCATGGATTTCCATATTTGTAACACAAGAGCTCACTGGAAGAAGCCAGCTGGCCAGCCTCGCCAAAGCAGATCTACCTGCAATACTGCCATCTCCTCTTGCCCTTTTGCTCCTCTATCATTTTCTTTGCAGAAATAGTGGCCAATGTTTGGAGGTCTGAGAAGGTGCTTTTCTGCCCGCATTTTCCCTGTCTTCCAAAGCAGACATAGGGCAAACAGCCATCGGTTGAAGCAGCTCAAGTCTTCACGCTCTTGCGTGCAGTTTGCCCCACCCTGTTCAGCCCCTGTCCAATCACCACTTACCTCCTCCTTAAAGGCACCACACTCTCTTTGCTACTATTGGGCTCGCTTGTATTGGGCTTGCTCACCCTCCTTCCACCCTCCCTCTTGCTTGCTCGCCACAGCCAAGAGGAAGAGGATGAGGAGGCGGGCGGGTGGGAGGAGAGCCTGCCCTGAAGCAAATATCCATCCCTGCATTAAAAATATCCATCCCCTGGACTTGTTACTGCATAAACGGTGTTCCTGTGCGTTCCGCCTGGAAATGACCCCTGGTTTGGTTCATGGTTTGTGGCTGTACCATGAATTGATACATCGGTTCATGAACTGAACCAGTTCATATTGGTTCAAGACCCCTACTTTCTGTTCTCTGCTGCTTTTCTGTTTGGTTTAAATGGCTTGAAGCCATTTAACCCCCTGCTTTCTGCTCACCACCACTTTTCACGGGGAGCAGAAAGCAGGGAGTTAAATGACTTTGAGCCATTTAAACCCCCACTTTCTGCTTTTCATGAACTGCCACAAACTGCCTTAAAATTAATGAAATTTGTGACCCAGTTCGTGCCCATCCATAGTGTAGTTATGGTAGAATATTAGCTGCTTCAGCAGAGGAGGCAGCATTATCCAAGTACTGGCTAATAGTTAAGTTCCTGTGTGTGACTGTGTGGCCGATTTCTCACTAGAGCTGCCTTGCAGCGCAGCCCCATTTGCCCCGACACAAGCATGTTAATTTCACACCCGAGGCTGCAGGGCTGCATTTGACCCGCGGCTTCGCCCGATTCCCTACGCAGTTTCGTGGTCCTCAAAAACCAGGATCACGAAACTGCGGAGGAAATCGGGTGAAGCCGCGAGTCAAAATGCAGCCCCGCAGTCTCGGGCGTGAAATTAACATGTTTGTGTCGGGGCAAACGGCGGCTGCGCCGCGAGGCAACTCTACTGAGAAATCGCCCTGTGTGTTTGTTTTTTGCTGTCAGGTCATAGCTGACTTATGGTGACCCAATGGGATTTTCAAGGCACAAGGCATTCAGAGGTGGTTGGCCATTTCCCGCCACTGTGTCACAGCCCTGGACTTGGTGGTCTCCCATCCAAATACTGACCAAGCTAAGACCCTGCTTATCTTCCAAGGTCTGATGAGATCAGGCTAGCCTAGCTATCCAGGCCAAGGTGAATGCATTTGTATAGACTTAGGAAAGTTCAGACAGATCTTGTTTGAATCTACTTCCTCATCTTGGCATCCCTACCTATTTATTAGATCCTTACATGTTGTGGTAGGCTCTGGGCATGCCTTTGCATGCAAGTTTCTCAACATGCTCACCTGTGCAACAAACAGTGCTTATATGTGAGAAGGCAAAAAGCACAGGAAGTTCAGCAGAGCGGCCTGAGTACAAAAAATGTCAAGAATAGTACACCACAGTCAAAGAGAGGGGATGTCTATTTACCCCTTACTTGTTCAATGAAAAAGCAAACAGAGGTTTGTGGTATCCAAAGGACTGATTGTGCCATAAGTTTCCATGTACTGGAGCCTTTATTATCAGGTATATGAAGTATACTGGGAAAGTATGCTGGGAAAGATTGAAGGTCAAAGAAGATGGGGACGGCAAAGGATGAGATAGTTAGACAGTGTCATAGATGCAACGAATATGAAATTGAGCAAACTTCAGAGGACAGTGGAAGACAGGAGGGCCTGGCGTGATCTGGTCCATGGGTTGCAAAGAGTCGGACTCGACTGTGCGACTGAACAACAACAAAAATATGAAGTATTATCCTCTATTCACAGACTTGTGTTTGTTATATTTAAGAAAGCAATCCTATCAAGGGTTTCTCTAGCCCAAGCTCATTCATTTCAGGGGATATAAATGGGAATAACGCTGGATAGGATTGCTTCACTGGTGAAACATATAGGTATGCTCATATAGATCATCTGGTTTTGTGAACTCCAGGCAAGTATCAAACAAGGTGCTCTTAACACTTAAAACCATATATGTTTTAGAGGAGAAAATCACATATGTTAAGGTATATCTTATGGATCAAGGGGCTTTTGATCCCATCATGAACATTTCACATAAGAACAGAAGAGACACGAATGTTGGGTCAGGCCAAAGGCCCATCCAGTCCAACACTCTGTGTCACACAGTGGCCAGAAATACCAGGTGCCATCAGGATGTCCACCAGTGGGGCCAGGACATTAGTTGACCCCCCCCAAGCACCAAGAAGACAGAGCATTACTTGCCCCAGAGTCCCTATCTATACCTTGTGGCTAATAGCCACTGATGGACCTCTGCTCCATATTTTACGTTTAACATTTAAGAAAACAGACTGCATCAACCACCATGAGGAAAGGAGGCAGTTCTCTCATTGTGGGTTGTTACCACTTAGCAGGGTCCCTTGGATAGGTACACATAACTGAATTATTTAAGAGAGCTTTTCTGTGCAGGCAATAGAGTTGCACTGCACTAAATTATTCATAAAGTTACTTGGAAAAATTATTGCAGACAGTGGTTTAGCTTGCTGAAACTAGGATCCTACTAAGGAATTTTACATCATTTCACATGTCACATTAATAGTTATGCTTTTCTTCAGTTCTGTTTTTTAATTTCTAATTGGGTCTGTGAGCCTAATCTTATTGCGTTGTTTATTCATTGTCCCATCCTTCGATTGTATTGACTCACTCTGTGTAAGCTACCTGGAGCCCCTGTGAGAAAGGCGGACTATAAATACCATAAACAAACAAATAAATAAATGGTTTCAGAATGTGTAGAGGATTCTGACTGACAGCTATAACTTGCCAGTTCTCATTGTGACTCTGGTAAGTTATTAGTAAGATGTGGCCAAATCATGAACCCCTGCTTTCAGCTCCCCACTGCTTTTTGCGGGGAGCAGAAAGCAAGGGGCCATTTAAACCAAACAGCCAAGCAATCGGGAGGTTTAAACCCCTGCTTTCTGCTCTTCATGAACCTCCATAAACAGCTTCAAAATTTGTGAAAGTTTGTGGCAGTTCTTCAGTTCACGATCTTTGCTTCATGAACCACGAACTGGCCAAAATTCATGATGAACTTTATTTTGTCAGCCAGTTTGTGCCCATCCCTAATGCAGACAACATGATTGCAGCACAGTCCACAGAATACTGAACTTAATATGTGCAAAGTACAATCAAGTCACAGATGACTTATGGTGATCCTGTACTGCTTTCAAGGCAAAAGCCATTCAGAGGTGGTTTGCCATTGCCTTCCTCTGAGTAGTGAGGCTGGGCTTCCTTGGTTGTTTCCCATCCAAATAACAACTAGGGCCAACCCATCTTAGCTTCCAAGATCTGATGAGATCTGCCTAGCCTGGGCTATCCAGGTCAGGGTGAACTTAACATAGGAAACAGCATGTACATCACATGATTCAAATAATTCTTTGGAAGAAATGTCATACCACTCTCCCTTTCCTCTCAGATCTTGCCCGCTGGTCTGATAGTCCCTCTGTACATTTGTAGAGCTGTATCTATGTGGTTGCAGAGTCAGAATACCTGGAAGTTGTTGTAACCCCCCACTGTCTCTTTTCTTACTCACAGCAGAGCACGGATGAACCCAACTCTACATACAATGAAGAGAACCTGGCTCAGTGTATTTCTGACCTCTTTTTAGCAGGCACAGAAACCACTGCCACTGCTCTGCAGTGGGCATTGCTCCTCATGGCAAATCATCCAGACATCCAAGGTAAGGTAAACTTCTGCACTGATTCAAGGAAAAACCACTCTGATTCAGTGTAAGGCAGCTTCATGTGTCCACTGGACTCCAGATAAAAATACACACATACCTGGCCTATGCAAAAAAATTTTACAATCTGGTGTTTTGTTGGACAGGATGAGAAAGGATAGCTTGCAAGGAAATCAGTGACTGAGAAATCAGTACTGAAGTAGAAACTGGAGGGTCAAGTAGAGTGAAAGTTTTCCCTGAATCCATAGAGAGGTTTTGGTTATTCTTCCTTGACGTTAAAAGCGATACAAAGAGAATGCTGTCCCGGTGATACACGATGTCTATACCCAAAGGTGTATCATGATCAGCTTAGAAGTTATAGTTCTGCCAACCCATATGCATGCTTTAAATCAGTGTAAGAACTTAGTGTTTACAGCTTTCACCAGAAACTCAATATTCCAATATTCAACAAACAGCAACCATCTCTGTGTGAAGAGGACCGGAACATCTTCTTGGCCCCTCTGCCTGAAAAGGAAGGCACAGACGCCAGGACTGGATTAAACTAAGGCATGATTAATTATTTAAAAGGCTGAACTGCAACACATCTAATATTTATCTAATCTAATCTATCTAACCATAAGAGGCTACCCAACGAGTCTGCCAGTGAGTCAGCCTGGCTCCGTGCTCAGAGCACCAAAGAGCAGCTCTTTGCTTGCCCTTGCTTGCACTTCAAAGATCATTCCCTTACGCCACTCGGGATGAAGCTCCAGGTATTAAACAGCAGCACTGATAGGGTTCCCTGCCCCAGGAACTTGCATCAGACAACCTGAAATGTCTGTTTTGGTTACCTCCCTGTAAAATAAGATACCTCAGGGTGCTTGCCTATCTAAGGCCCCAGTCACGTGGAGAATTTTGCCGTGCGAAAGGCAAGAATGTCAGGTGGATTTTTGGGGTGCCATCACACCGCAACATCTGGGAAGCGTAGCACACCCGTGGCCAACCCGTGGCCAACCCGTGGCGTCCCGCCGAAGATGCAGAGTTTAAAAGTACCAAGGAAAGTGCACTAGTATCTAGAAAACATGCGGCACAGGTGGACATCTGATCGCGAGAGCGCTAGTATCCCGTGGCATCCGCCGCCCGTCCACGTCCCTTCACAAACTGGATGTTTTTCATAAGCGCATGCGCTCAAACACGAAACTGAAAGCAGTGCTTCTCCGCGTAACTGCCTATGCACACAAATGCGAAACGCTTGTGTGATTGCACCGCCTGGCTTCTTTGCCACGCTGCAGCATTGCCGTGTGATCGCCAGCCAAAGCGCGGAGACTCGGGAGACCGTGTGATTGGGCTACCACACTTTATTTTGCTCTAGGGTGAACAGCCACGTTTCCCCCCCCCCGCGTTATCTGGTACGTGTGACCGGGGCCACACATATTCAAATTCATGGCTAACCCATAAACTCTGCCACATAGGTCCAGGTAGGACCCTAGCAGAAGTGTTAAAGGTTAAAGCCCTTTGTCTCACTCCAGCCAGAGTTCACTAACACAAGAACCATATAACTATATAAAGCCAAGGTAATCTTACAAAAACCAGCAGTAGTATAAAAAAAGTAAAGATCGGTGGTACAGAGAAGTAAAGTCCCAAAAATTTCAATGTGTCTCAGTCATATTGTATTAAAATTCCATAGTCTAATTTGACATGCATTCATCATAGAATGGATTCATATAATTCCAGAAGGATCCGTATAATCTTGAAATCCAAAAAACGATGCATAGTCCGGACGCAAGCTACTGCGTTTCGAATAATTCCTTTTCAAAGCCAATAGGCTGCAGTGGGACCCAATCTCAGTAGTAGCCTGGCCCGTAGCTAACATGGGGCCCATGGGGCCTGGCCCCCTAGTGTTTCTTCTGGGCCCCCTCCCTCCTGGGCTGCCCCCAAAGTGCTCCAACTTACCACCTGCACTGTACTTTCAATTAATTAGCTTGCAGGCCCCCGAGGCCCCCTCCCAAAAATTCCCTAGCTACGTTGCAGGTAGTAGCACATACAGAAACCAGTTTAACCATTCACAGAGGATCATGGGTCCCACTGAGATTGGGTCCCACTGCAGCCTATTGGCTTTGAAAAAGAATTATTTGAAACGCGGCAGCTTGCATCCGGACTACACGTCGCTCTTTGGATTTCAAGATTATATGGATCCTTCTGGACTTATATGAGTCCAGTCTATGATGAATGCATGTCAAGTTGGACTATGGAATTATAATACAATAGGACTGAGACACATTGACATTTTTTGGGACTTTACTTCTCTGTACCACTGATCTTTACTTTTTTGTACTACTGTTGGTTTTTGTAAGGTTACCTTGGCTTTGGAGCTGCGGTGGCTCAAGTGGTTAAGACGCTGAACTGCAGGCTGTGGAAGGTCAGCAGTTTGAGAACCAGGTGTACCGCATGACGGAGTGAGCTCCCGTCTCTAGTTCCAGTTCCTGCCAACCTAGCAGTTCGAAAGCAAGAAATTGCATGTAGATAAATAGGTACCACTTTGGTGGGAAGGTAACAGCGTTCCGTGCGCCTTGACATCTAGTCATGCCGGCCACATGACCACGGAAAAATCTTTGGACAGCGCTGGCTCTTCAGCTTTGAAACGGAGATGAGCACCGCAACCCTAGAGTCGGACTCGACTGGCTTTCAAGCAGGGGAACCTTTACCTTTACCTTACCTTGGCTTTATATAGTTATATGGTTATTGTGTTAGTGAACTCAGTATTAAATAATATTTTTATATATATATATTGTTCACCTTATAGTGATTTCAGCCAGCAGTCTCTTGTTCTTTGCTACAATTCATGTATGCTGGTTCCCCGCCTTTTGTTGTTGTTGTTGTTCACTCCAGCCAGAGCTATGTTTCTCTGTAGGCACCAAAGTGTTGTGGTTTGGGGGGTTTAATGACTCATCCCAACACTTTTCCTTCTTTGCCCACTACAAACTTGCAGCCAGGCTCTAGTACTTGGACAGAGTGCATTCCCAATTATTGGAATATAAATACGATCTCCAGGGTGGAGGGCATTTCTCGACATCTACAAATGACTTCAGGTCACCAACCATTTGGAAGGCCGAGGTCCTTCAAAAGAATCCTAAGCCATGTTGAAGCCAGCAGCTGGATATATAACCTCGTTTTTTTGGAATAACTTTTGCATAGAAAACATTAATTTGCATAGCTTCCTGTCACAAGGTCCAACACTGTTAAAATCCCAACAGACAAACCAGGATGGAAACTGCTGCTTGCCTATATTACACTATTACTTTGGCTGAGCCAGTGATTACAAATAGGGATGGGAATGAACAGGGAAAATGGAGGTTCATCCCGGTTTGTGGTTGGTGAGCTGCCGTAAACCACGAACCAGGACAAACCTCCTCCATGGACTCTTTAAATGCCTTCTCCAAGCCACGCAACACACAACTCAGAAAGTCAGCTGAGGCATTTAAAGAGATCACAGTCTCTTTAAATGCCTTTTCTAAGCCTCACCACAGGAGCCAGCATGTCTGCTGACACGAACCACACAAAACCACCTGGAAGGTTTGTGGGAGGTTTGAGGGGGCTCATGAGGATGGGATGGCACGAACCGAGGTTCATGAACCACAAACCAGGGTAGGTTCATGATGAATTTTGGTTTGTAATTTGGTTTGTGCCCATCCCTAATTACAAATCCGCTGTCTGATTCATGGAATAGCTAGCGGGGTGACTGTGTTATCACTCGGTGGTTCTGTGAGTGTTCCATTTTTAGCCCTTTTCATATTTATTGTGTGTTGCTGCATGGACCTAATAAATCACCCTTAACATTTTGAATGCTGCTGCATGCCTACATTACAATTTAGGTTTCTCGAGTGTAACCCTATAGAATAGTTTCAGTGGTTCAGAGAATCTATAGAGGTAAATACAGTCTCCCAAACAAAGCTTCTTCATTTTACTGTTTTCCTCAGAGAAAGTCCAAAAGGAGGTAGAAGATACTTTGGGTTCCTCTCAGTCATTCAGCTATCAAGATCGAAAGAGATTGCCTTACACCAATGCTGTGATACATGAGATCCTGCGTGCCTACTATGTCTTGTTTGTTGGGATCCCCAGAAAATGTATGAAGGATGTGAACATACTTGGTTTTCTCATTCCCAAGGTATCAAAGACTGTTATAGTCATACTCCTGTACCTGATGAGGGATGTCCATCACAGGTGGTGCTTTTGGAGAAATGGCCATATAGGAGCTTCCTCTTTAGACCTGTGGGACCGCCTCTCCCCAGAGGTCATTTCGGGGGGGAACGCGGGGGATCGCAGTTCCCCCGAGCGAGGTATGGGGGGCGGGGCACATGACAAAGCCCCGCCCCCTGCTTCCGGCCACCCCGCTTCCAGCCCTCATTCAGCCAGGAGGAAGCAGGAGAAGAGGGAGGGTAAGTTGCTTCCTCCCCACCTCTCCCCACCCCTGCCTGCCTGGGGCCAGGGAGGGCCTTCGCAGGGCTTCCTTGCACTCCCACCGGCCTTGCAGGTCCACCACCGGGCCCCTCATGGG